GAGGGAAAATCTGGGCAGAAGGGCCAAAATCTGGCGAACCACCGGAAACACCTCCACCTTTCCCAGCCGCCGCATCTCTGAGAGCTTCTCCTCCGGGGGCGGCCACGGCGCGCAGGAGCCTAGGCATGCGACAATCGGAACGTTTCCGTCCGCGGCCCCTAAGAGCTCCCGACCCCTTCCCCCGGGGGCACTGTGGCATCCCGGATGAATCCCAGACTGCCCAAGGGCCCGAACACGGCAGCAGAGGCCAACCATGACAACAACAACAACAAACACAACAACAACAACAACAACAACAATCATTTTACCCGAACGCGTGGTGTTCTCCCCAGTGCCAGGGTTTTCATACGACACCAGGCAATACCCCCACTTCGTGGGGGGGCATTACAAGCTCTACCAAATATCCAAACGACTCTTCGCGACCACCCAAACCCAGCTTCCCGCCCTATGACGTTGGGACACTTCACTACGACCACACACTGGCGTGGGGTACACACCCACTTGGTACAGGTGCGCAACCGTTGTCGCAGAAGTTCGAAAAAGTTGCTCGCAAAAGCCCGTTTGACAGAAATGTTTAAAAAGTGTTGGGTTTCCTACGAATCCGCAAGAGCGCGCGGGATGAGATTTTGACATTTTTTTGTTGAAAAACCATTGGTTTTTTGATGTTTTTATGTTAAAATCGCTCCGAACACTAAGCTTTTGGAAGGATTTCGTCTTGCGCGCGCGAATGTCCACTTTACCTTATTTTTTGCAAGGGATTCTTGAAATTTGATTATATTAGAACAAGAAATGTCATTTTATAGTGTTTTTTGCAAGGGAAAGCGGGGGGGAACAAAACAACCGGATCTTGATCACATCGAATTACCTGAGGCTTCCTCACGAAAATGATGAAAATGTAGCTGCGGCCTAGGCGGCGCAGGGGGGCCGTGCACCAGGGGCCCCAACAATAATTATTCTTTAGAATTAATAATGTTCAACAACAACAACAACAACAATTACTAGCACGTGGGGACACTCCGTTCTCACCAGTGCCAGGGTTTTCATAGGAGGCGGGCAATACCCCCACTTTGTGGGGGGGCCGGTTCAAGCTCTACCAAATTTCCAAACGACTCTTCGCCACCACCCACACCCAGCTTCCCGCCCTATGACGTTCGGACACTTCACTTCGTGGCATGCGGACGACCGTGGCTACTATTCAGGGCCCCGCGGCCGACGACGACGGCGTGCGCGCGCGAAGAAAAAACGAATGTGTCCCGCATGGTATTATTTGACAGGGATGATGGCCCTGGCAGGTGCGCAACCGTTGTTGCAGAAGTTCGAAAAAGTTGCTCGCAAAAGCCCGTTTGACAGAAATGATTAAAAAGTGTTGGGTTTCCTACGAATCCGCAAGAGCGCGCGGGATGAATTTTTGACATTTTTGTTTGAAAAACCATTGGTTTTTTGATGTTTTTATGTTAAAATCGCTACGAAAACTAAGGTTTTGGAAGGATTTCGTCTTGCGCGCGCGAATGTCCACTTTACCTTATTTTTTGCAAGGGATTCTTGAAGTTTGGTTATGTTAGAACAAGAAATGTCCACTTTAGCTTATTTTTTGCAAGGGAAAACCGATCGTAACAACACAACCGGATCCGGACCAACCCGTTTTGCCTGAGACTTCCTCACGAAAATGATGAAAATGAGGCTGCGGCCTAGGCGCGGCGGGGGGGTCGTGCACCAGGGGCCCCAACAATAATTATTCTTTAGAAGTAATAATGTTCAACAACAACAACAATAACAACAACAACAACAACAACAACAACAACAACAACAACAACAAATAACGGCAACAACAACAACCTCAACAACAACCACAACACCCACAATAACAACAACAACAGCATCAACAACAACAGCATCAACAACAAACACAAACACGTGTCTCGAAATAGTAAGTCTCCCGGTTGCGCACCGGCAGCCCCCCGAGGCAGCCGAGGCTGGCCTCGGCCGGCCCGCCGACCAGCCCGCGGCGGCCTCGGCACCCCCAACCCTGGGGCGCGGGTGTTGGGGCCGCCCTGTGCTCCCCGGAGGGGGCCCGCCAAGGCCAGCTGGGACTGCTCGGGGATGCCTGTTATGATGGGCCTGGTTTCCACCACCACTACCATAGGTTGGAGGGGGAGGTCCTCCTCCTCCTCTTCTTTCTCCTCCTCCTCCTTCTCCAACATATGGTAGTGGTGGTGGAAATCAGTCCCATCATGTTGAAAGAAAAGGCCAGCCGGGACTGCCCCGGGGGGGGGATTGTCTGCGCACGGCCCGGAGCCACCAGATAGAAGACAGCGTCTCGTCGGCTCAGCTCTTTTGTGGGCCCCGGGAACGGCAGGGCCGTTTTTCCACCGTTTCCCCCAAAAAATGCCCCTTGAGAATGGAAACGGCAAAAAAACGGCGACCGGAAACGGCAACAAAAACGGCTCCGAGATTGGAACCGGAGCCGGAACCGGTAAAAAGACGGCGACGGAACCGGTAAAAAACAGCGTCGGAACCGGTAACAAAAACGGCAACACGGAACAGGTAAAAAAGCGGCCCTGTCGTTTCCAGGGCCCACTAAGGCTCAGCTGCCCCGATGCGCAGCACGCAGCACGCAGCGTGGTGACACGGAGCTCAACACGCAGACTGGGAACCTAGGGCTCCCAACTTCGCGCTTCGCGCTGCGCGAAGCGCGAAGCGCGAATAACTTCGCGCTCTCGCGCCGCCCTCCCAAAGGGAGAATAGGAGGACGAGGAGGAGGGGGAGAAGGAACGAGGACCGCGAAGCGCGAAGCGCGAATAACTTCGCGCTCTCGAGGGAGCCCTTGGGGAACGCAGGTCTGGCGCGATACGTTCGCCGAAGCGCGGGCCAGCACGTGCCGAGCCAGCACGCAGCGTGCTAGCACAGCCGTTTTGAACACGGCGCCCGTCGGTCGGAAGGAGCACGACGAAGCATGAAGTAAGAGGGCGCTGGAAGTGGGTCGGGTCTCCGCCCGCCCACTGAGGAGAAGGGAAAGAAGGGAAAACACTCAATCCTGGAAGAAGGGCGGCGGTCAGCGTAGATTGGGATCTGGGGAGCCAGAAGTGCGCCGACCCTGTGGGCGTGTGCGAAGGGTTTGTCTGTTCGAGTCGTCTTCTCCGCCAGTCGTCGTCTGCGTCGCCCCCTTTCCCCGCACCCTCCTCAAGCCTGTCAGCAAAAGAAAAACCTCGCCATGTCGCAATCGAACCGAAGGGAAGCCCCTTCCCTTTGATCCCTTCCCTGTCGGGGGGGGGTCCCAGGGGGAGGTCCGGGAGGGGGTCAGATACGCATCCCCCCTTGGGGGGTCCCAGGGGGGTGTTAGATACGCATCCCCCCCTGAGGGTCCCGGGGCTGCAAAAAAGACCAGAACAACCCAAGAGTGCCCCAAGAGGCCCCCGAGACGGTCCAAGAGGGCCCCCAATCGCCAAATGATCGGACAAAAACGCCGTCACGCTCCCAGACTGCCCAGGAGACATCCAAGACGCCCCAAGAGGCCTCCAAAGGCACTCCCGAGAGGGCCCCAAGAGGCAAAAATCATTAGTGTTCGATCGGTTTTTGATTGACGTAGGCGTTCTCGCCTTTTCCGCTTCCTGCCGCTCCAAGACGGCCGAAAAGGCCATCAAGATCGCCCCAACAAGAGGCTTCCAAGAGAGCTCCAAAACATCCCAAGAGAACCCCAAGACAGCCCAAAACGCCTCCAAGACGGCCCAAGAGGCCCCCAAGACGGCTCCAAGAGCGTGCCTTGACGGGGAACCCGAACGGACATTTCGAGCCCTAGGCCCGAAGAAGCTCCCAGGAGGCCTCAGGAGGTTCCCAAGAGGCCCCAAGAAGCCCACAAGAGGCCCCCAGGACACCCGAAAAGGCCCCCAAGAGGCTCCCAAGTGGCTCCCAAGAGACCCCGAAATTCCCCCCCAGAGGCCCACGAGAGCCTTCCCAAGAGACCCACGAAGCATCCCTGAGGACTCAGGCCCACGTCAGCGTCGTCGTCGTCGCCGCCGCCACCGCCGCCGTCGTCGTCGTCCCCCTTCAGGGTCGCCGGCACTGGCCGCAAGACCTTCGCAATACATACTTTCAGCGCCCGGCGTGCACGTCCTGCGTTTCAGCACGTGCCTATCATAACAGTCAGGCGGCAGGCTGCAGATGAGGTGCTTCCCATCCTCGTGCTGTGATGCGCATCGCTGGATGTCGCATGGGTACAGTGGAGGCCAGTCCACAAGAGACCCTCCACAAAACACCCAGCCCTGAGAGCCCAGGACGTCCCTTGGTTTTTGGTGTGGGAGCGTCATGCCTTCCACCCACAGCGGAATCATCGAAACTCAAGAAACCAGAGCACCCTGGAGTCAAGCAGGGTGTTCCTGGGCATGGGCCCACACTGTATCTTTCTTGCGAGGGGCCCTTTGAAGGAGCTGCTCGGCTGAGAGCCACGCGCCTGAGCGCTCCTGAGCTCCTCCAACGAGGTTGCCCCCCTGTCGGTCCAGCAGCAGCTGCTGGTTAGCACAGGCGTGCCAGGACAACTAAGCCATCCTTAGGTCGGGCATGTCCTCCTACAGGCGGATCTTGAAGGAAAAAACAACAGCTATCAGATCGTTTGAGACATGACAGGATTGTATCTTGAACGAAAATCGTCCCCGGACTATGTTTAGACTATTTTTCGGTACTTGTCGCCGCCACTCTGCCGCCACCATGGGCGCGCCACGCCCCCGGGGGGGGTCGCTCAGCTCGGGCATGCCCCCCTACAGGCGGATCTTGGACGAAGCCTCAAAATGACCCAGCACATGCTCAGAAACTGACAGAAACCCGAAAGATGCTCAACCATAGTCAAGGAACAGAAATCGAAAAATCGTCCCCATACTGTTTTCACTGTTTTTGAATACTCCTCCTCTAGAGAGACATGCCCGACTTGAAGCGAAACCGTCCGTCGGAGATCTGGACGGCGGCGCGGCGGCGGCGCGGCGCGGCGGGGGCCGGGCCCCCGCGAGGGCCTCCCCAGCAGCAGGCACCCGTTGCCCTTCTCCTTCCGGGGTGTGCGCGCGGCAGCGGAAGAGGAGGGGGAGGAGGGGGAGGAGGAGGAGGGAGGAGGGAGGAGGAGGAGGAGGACGAGGAGGAGAATGAGGAGAGGGAGGAGGGGAGGAGGGAGAGGAGGAGGAGGAGGGAGAGGAGGAGGAGGAGGAAGAGGAGAGGAGAGGAGGGAGGAAGAGGAAGGGAGGAGGAGGGATGAGGAGAGGAGGAGGGGAGGGAGGTAGGAGAGGAGGCGAGGGAGGGGGAGGGAGGGGAGGAGGAGGGAGGAGTAGGAGGATTAGGGGAAGGGAGGAGGAGGAGGAGGAGGAGGGGGAGGGGGAGGAGGGGGAGGGAGGAGGAGTAGGAGAGCGGAGGAGGAGGAGGAGGGGGAGGAGGAGGAGGCGGAGGTGAGAGAAGGAGGGGGAAGAGGAGGAGAAGGAGGAAGACGCTGCGGGTGGAGCGTCGCCCTCATGGCGTGGCAAAGAGAGAAGAGGAGGACGAGGAGGAGGGGGAGGAGGCGAAGGGGGAGGAGGAGGAGCAGCAGGAGCAGGAGCAGGAGGAGGAAAAGGATAGGAAAGAAATGCGTACTGAGGAGCACTTTCTGAACAGACCCTTTCAAACGATCCCTTGCTAATGGAATCCGTTATTGCAGAAATCCTGATATAGGGAAACTTTACGAAAGATCGCTTACACAAGTCATCCGTGCTGACGAAGCAGCACGGACGGGATACATGATTGACGCATCCTGACGGATGGAAGCCTCCCTGACGGGAGCCATGACTAGAAAAAAAAAATACGGGGGGAAAGCTTGCTAAAAAGGCAGCTGTACCAAAGAGCCTTTACCCAAGGCGCTGTTACTGAAGAACCCGCCCAAAAAAACAAAAACAGACTTAAGAATCCCTTACAGCGGGCACCCTTACTAGGGACCTCGTAGTGCCAAAAGAATAGTAGCCAACCATGTTTTACTAGAACAAGTCACTGCGAAGGAGTAATTACAACGTGGACCTTTGCTCCATATTCCTCCATGAAGGGATCCGTTCTTAGGGCCCCTTTTTATAAAAAAAGAAGCACCCTTACTAAGGAACCCTTAACGAAAGAAGCATTACTGAGGACCCCGTACCAACAGATCCCAAGGATCCCTTACGAAAGGCATCGCTACTGAGGAGCCTTTACTAAAGGTATCCATATCATCTGTATCACAAACATCCTCAGCATGCACCCCGAGGCGACGAACACCTGGAGAACTGACGAACACGTAGCACAACAGTTATCTGTATACAGGCACACACACGTAAACCCATAACTAACATAAACACAAACATTGACCTATATCTATGTTTATATCTATGTGTGTCAATGTGTATGTGTGGGTGTATGAGTATACACACATACAAACAAGCACACATGCAAACCTGAACACGAACCCATACGAATGCAACTAGCTATACACATACACAAGCACATGTATATACACGTTCGTGTATATATACACACGCATATATAGATATACATGTACAAATTCGTATACAAACACATACACATGCACGTACACACACCTATACACATACAGATGAATATTCACTTACATCTACATATACATACATGGCGGATTCCGTCTACACATATAGGCACCTGCACATATTGATATGAATGTACGTACACGTAAACCTATAAATAAACACATGTATATGCAACTGCATATGCATATACCTACACGTTTATATAATATGATCACACTCGCATGCTTCGCGCGCTTCCGCTCTAGTCGCATTCGAACATAAATCATCGCAAGTTGCCGCTGGGTGCTGCCAGGTTGACTCGGGAGTTCCCTTAAGGTTAGTCGTGGGATTTGCCACCATCTGATATGGTAGCCCGGAAGTCATCTAAAGGAATCTCTGGGAGGCATCTACGACGCGGCGTCTGGGGCTGAAAGATGTCGACTAAGAACTGGGGTGCTCGAGTCTGGTTTCGCATTGCCCAATGCCCGGGGCCAGGACCTTCCGCGAATGCATAGATGTACAGATGTCTATACACAGCTGAAATGTACGTATATCTGGTTATCTATGTCTGTATGTTTGCATGTATGTTTTTAACATGTGTATAAATACATGTATGTATGTGTGTGTTGGCCTTCGGACCATCCCGCCACGGTGCCTGACTGTGTGTCAGAAGCCTCTTGGGTGTCCGTTGGCAAATACCTCGTGGGAAGCCTCTCGGGAACCTCGTCGAGGGCGGCTTCTTGGGGCCTCTTGGAGGGCCTCTTGGGCTGCTCGAGGCGCCTTGTCGGGGCCTCCTGGGGGCCCGGGGGGGGGGCGGCAGGCTGGAATTCTGGGCTCGTATTCCCCTCTTGGGGCCTTCTTCAGCCGCTCTGGTGCCCCTCTTGGGCCCTCTTGGGGGGGGGCCTCTTGGGCCGCCCTGGGGCCCTTTGGAATCATCTTGGGGCTCCCGAGAGGCCTCTGGCCCCGACGTGGGGCCTCTCTGGGTCCAGTCCTGGGCCGTTGTCCGCGCCTCGTAAAGCCGTCCAGGAGCGTCGGAAGGAAGCCCGAAGCGGCAAGAACCCCCAAATCCTTCAAAACCTCGAGGAAATCTGTGTTGTTGGCATCTTGGGGCCCTCGTCGGGGTCCTCTTGGAGCCTTCTCGGGCCGTCTTGGGGCCTCTTGGTCCGTCTGGACAGCTCCCTGGGCCCCCAGAAACCCTTGGAGGCCTTCTTCGGGGTGGCTCGGGGTCGTCTCGGGCCGCCGGGACGGCGGTCGGATTGCTTTGGGGGCCGACTTGCAGCCCCCCAACGGCGAGCCTGTCTCCGAAACGCCCCGAAAAGGGTCGCCCCCCCCCTCCCGAGCCATCTTGGCAGTATTGGAGGGCATCGAAATCGCCTGCGAGCGTGAAAGAGAACCGCCATGGGGGAATGAGCCTGGGCCCCCCCTCGGGCCTGGAACGCTGGTTCTATAGATATACACCCATATGTATAGAGAGAGAGAGATACAGATGTACACATTGTAAATGTATGTATGTGTGCATTTCCTCGGTGATCTGGGTCTGTGAGTCGCCGATGTGTCCACCCTGTGTATCCTTCCCTCGGCGGCGGCCGCTCCTGCTGCAGCACCGAGAGCAGCAGGTGCGAGGTGTCCACCGCGGGACTGCCGAGAGAGCGGGCGCACTCCACGGTGTCCTCCGAAGCGGAGTGCCCCGCCGACAGCGACGACGACGACGACGACGACAACGAAGACGACGACGACGACGACGACGACGTTAACGAAGACGACGACGACGACGACGACGACGACGACGACGACGGCGACGACAACGACGACGACGACAACAACAACAACAACAACAAAAACAACGACAACAACAACAACAACAACAACAACAACACCAATACCAACACCAACACCACCAACAACAACAACAACAACAAAACCAACAACAACAACAACAACAACAGCAGCAGCAGCAGCAGCAACAACAACAACAACAACAACAACAACAACAACAACAACAACAACAACAACAACAACAACAACAACAACAACAATTACTAGCACGTGGGGACACTCCGTTCTCACCAGTGCCAGGGTTTTCATAGGAGGCGGGCAATACCCCCACTTTGTGGGGGGGCCGGTTCAAGCTCTACCAAATTTCCAAACGACTCTTCGCCACCACCCACACCCAGCTTCCCGCCCTATGACGTTCGGACACTTCACTTCGTGGCATGCGGACGACCGTGGCTACTATTCAGGGCCCCGCGGCCGACGACGACGGCGTGCGCGCGCGAAGAAAAAACGAATGTGTCCCGCATGGTATTATTTGACAGGGATGATGGCCCTGGCAGGTGCGCAACCGTTGTTGCAGAAGTTCGAAAAAGTTGCTCGCAAAAGCCCGTTTGACAGAAATGTTTAAAAAGTGTTGGGTTTCCTACGAATCCGCAAGAGCGCGCGGGATGAGATTTTGACATTTTTTTGTTGAAAAACCATTGGTTTTTTGATGTTTTTATGTTAAAATCGCTGCGAACACTAAGGTTTTGGAAGGATTTCGTCTTGCGCGCGCGAATGTCCACTTTACCTTTTTTTTGCAAGGGATTCTTGAAGTTTGGTTATGTTAGAACAAGAAATGTCCACTTTAGCTATTTTTTGCAAGGGAAAGCGGGCCGTAACAAAACAACCGGATCCGGACCAACCCGTTTTGCCTGAGACTTCCTCACGAAAATGATGAAAATGTGGCTGCGGCCTAGGCGCGGCGGGGGGGCCGTGCACCAGGGGTCCCAACAATAATTATTCTTTAGAAGTAATCATGTTCAACAACAACAACAACACCGACCAACCACCACTACCACCACCAACAACAACAACAAACAATATCAACAACACACAACAACAACAACAACACAACAACAACAACAAAAACAAATCATTTACCCGAACGCTCAGTGTTCTCACCATGCCAGGGTTTTTTCATGCGAACGCCCGCCAATACCCCCACTTTGTGGGGGGGCCGGTTCAAGCGTCTACCTACATTTCCACACGACTCTTCGCCACCACCCACACCCAGCTTCCCGCCCTATGACGTTCGGACACTTCACTTCGTGGCATGCGGACGACCGTGGCTACTACACTGGCGCATGGTTTCAATGACTTCTTGACATGCCTCCTCTTCCTCCTCCTCATCCTCCTCCTCCTTCTCCTCCTCCTCCTCCTTCTTCTCCTCCTCCTCCTCCTCCTCCGGCCTCTCCTCTCCCTCCTCCTCCCTCTTCCTCCGCCTTCCCATCCGCCTCCTCCCCCTCTCCCTCCGCCTCCCTCCTCCTCCTCCTCCCGCTCCTCCGCTTCCTCCTCCTCCTCCTCCTCCTTCTCCTCATCTTCCTCCTCCTACGCCTACTCCTCCTCCTCCTCCTCCTCCTCCTCTTCCCGCCTCCTCCTCTCCTCCTCCTCCGCCTACTCCTCCTCCTCCTCCTCCCTCCCCTCTTCCTCCTCCTCCTCGCTCATCCTCCTCCTCCTCTTCCATCCTCCTCCTCCTCCTCCTCCTCCGCCTCACCCTCCTCAGCCGACTTCCTGCGACTCCTCCTCCTCCTCCTCCTCCTCCTCCTCCTCCTCCTCCTCCTCCTCCTCCTCCTCCTCCTCCTCCCCGCCCATGACCCGCTGGCGGCGCGCGGAGCGCGCAGGGGAAGGGGCGTGCAGAGATGCAGGCCCGGAGTCCGCCTAAGAAAGGAATCCGCGCGGACCTCCAGAAGTTTGTTTTGCTATATACCCCCCCACCCCCGCACACTATTGAGCGGAGCTCAGACTTGGAAGGATACGCGTGCACTGAGCGCGCGGCAATGTCATAGCCTACACTCGTGGGTAGCCGCGGGCAGCTGCATGAATGCAGGAGGCGATATACTCCTGAAACTGCGTGTCTGCCAGCTGGTCGAACGTAAGCGGGAATGGGTTCAATGCGGTTTTGTGACACGTACCGGGGGGCGCCCCCCGCCCCACTAGCCGCTAACCCGAACTGCCGTCCCCCACAGAAACAAAAGCTACGGCAGACCCGGTTCAGTGATTCTGGCTTCACTTTTGGCCTTCGGGGCCCAATCACTGACTGGCTCCCCGTGCTCGGGGTCCTGGCTATATCCGACAGCGGATATCGGACACATCTGGCGGCGATTCGACCATCAGAGGTGGGGTCCGCAGGTGGCCGCAGAAA